GCTTTTTGATATTCATTAGAACCATTATATTTATTATTACTTTTCATATACACCTATCCCTATATATATAATTTTATGTTCACTTTGTATGTTTTTCTAGGATTGTTTAATAATTTAGCATTAAAAATGGATGAAAAATCTGTCCAGTTTATCATGAAATGCTTGTCAACCTTGACCTAAGAAATACAAATAAGGAAATTGTTTGCATAAAAAACTACGAACCTTTCTTATATATATGTATATTATTATTATCTTTAGTTTTACAAATATATTCAAATTTTTAATTGAATTTAATTGGATAGAATTAAGAGTGATTATTATTGGTATATATATTTAAAAAGGAAAAAAATGAGAATATTGTTATTTATGATGATCTTATGCTGTGATCCATTTATTATTTATGTGTTAAATTAAAAAAAAAAATAATTGATGGGATTCGAATTTGACATTAATTCGCTAATTGAAAACTATTATTGTATTCGTGTTACATTGATTATTTTGTATTTATTTATTTGGAAGGAATTAATAAATTAAACGTGTATATAAGGAACAAGAATTTGCTGTATTTTAAAAGTGACTTGGTAATAAGTTAACTTAATAGTGTATTTTCGTGTAATTGATACACTTGGATTCTCCGAAATTTTGCAGTAGTGTACTATTTGATCTAATAAAATCTACTAAAACAATAGAAATAAAGAAGCATTAAAGTATACAAATATGATTTATTTTGGACTGAGATTGATGTATCAAAAAAACATTTAAATTGACTACTACTTGTGCGGTCAATTCAATCATTAACACCACCAAAGGAACAAAATTAATTATTTTGCAATAAAAGCTATTTGTTTGGTTATTTATTGTTGTTTTTTGATTTTAGTATTAATGCACGGTTTCTATTCATAATACATTTTATTTGTTTTATTTGTTTTATTTGTTTTATTTGTTTTATTTGTTTTATTTGTTTTATTCCTTTTATTCCTTTTATTCCTTTTATTCAAATTATTATTACTCAAATTATTTGTTTTATTCAAATAAACATTTGAATAGAAAACCCTAACTGCTACTCAAGATATGATATTATTTCAGTACAAAGAGCTTTAGAAATATTTAACCAATAATTTGATTACAACATAAAAGAGTTATTGGTTTATTAAATTAAGCAAAAAAAAAGGATTGATTTTAAAAATATCTGATAAATATTGGCACTTTCAACATTTACTAATAGGCTTTTAGACTATATGATAAAAATATTATTAACTTATCAGTATGCTAATACTTGATTATTTTTTTAAAGAATAATCAGATTCTGATACAGTTGACCCCCCTTATAGTCACACCCCTCGGGAATGACTAATGCTGTGACTATAAATGAATGTGCTTATAGAGGGTATAAATATATAGTCACGCGTCTTATTTAAGGTTGTGGGCGAAACCTCTTAATGACTGTCGAAACTCTGTCAAAACTCTAATGAACAATTAATGTGTAACCTGT